GCCGCTTGCAGCATGTAGAGCTATGACACCAAAGCCAGCGTGACAGCTTTGGAAAAATTCCAGGATGACGTCAGATGCCATTGCACATGTGGGGCATGTAAGGGGGCATGGCTACACCTTTTAAGCCTGAGATGACTTATTTTGGTTTTTAAGACATTTCTTCTTTCACTGTACTAAGTATGGGTGTATTTTCACTATTTTGTAATAATAAACACTAACTTGCAACACTTAGAAGTACCCTCTGGTGTCCATTTGACTCTATTACAGATCACTTTGAATCTGCAGAGGAGCTGCTCTGGGGCCAAGCAAGTTTTCTTTATGTGGACTTATGAACTGTGTTTAGCTGTTACTACTTTTTAGGCTACTTTTTTGCACCATAAACTCCTCTTATTTTGCTTCTGGCTTTATTCTAAATTGTCTTGTTATTCTATACATAATGTCTTAATGTTTTTTTAACAGGGAGCATATTCATTCAGATGCTTGGCATCATGATGTGATCACAAGCTTTTCTTCATATTCGTAACCAGTTGATATAAACATGGAGCCGCCTGGGAATAAGACTCTTGCTGGCTTTGTCCTGTTGGGATTTTCTGATACACCTCACCTTCTCTTTCCTCTTTCCTCCTTCTTCTTGGCTTCATATGTCCTCTGCATTGCAGGAAACACATTCATCCTCATGCTTATTGTTTCACAGCCACAACTTCACACCACAATGTATGTCTTTATGGGAAACCTTGCCTTTGTGGATGTATGTTTTACATCCATTATCATCCCCAGGACGTTGTATGGCCTCCTGTCTGAAGACATCTCTATCTCCATTCATGGCTGTATTGTCCAGCTATTCCTGTTTCTGGCAGTGGCCAACATGGACAGTTATTTGTTGACCATCATGGCCTTTGACCGATTCTGTGCAGTTTGGTTTCCCCTACGTTACCTGATAATTCATTCCTCTTCTTTTTCTTTTCATTCTTCTTTTCATTCTTCTTCTTTTCATTCTTCTCATTCTTCTTTTCATTCTTCTCATTCTTCTTCTCATTCTTCTTTTCATTCTTCTTCTCATTCTTCTTTTCATTCTTCTTCTTCTTTTCATTCTTCTTTTCATTCTTCTTTTCATTCTTCTTCTTCTTCTTTTCATTCTTCTTCTTCTTTTCATTCTTCTTTTCATTCTTCTTCTTCTACTTTTCATTCTTCCCATTCTTCTTTTCATTCTTCTTCTTCTTTTCATTCTTCTTTTCATTCTTCTTCTTCTTCTTTTCATTCTTCTTCTTCTTCTTTTCATTCTTCTTCTTTTCATTCTTCTTCTTCTTCTTTTCATTCTTCTTCTTTTCATTCTTCTTTTCATTCTTTTTCTTCTTCTTTTCATTCTTCTTTTCATTCTTCTTCTTCTTCTTCTTTTCATTCTTCTCATTCTTCTTTTCATTCTTCTTTTCATTCTTCTTCTTCTTCTTTTTCATTCTTCTTCTTCTTTTCTTTTCATTCTTCTTTTCATTCTTCTCATCTTCTTTTCATTCTTCTTCTTCTTCTTTTCATTCTTCTTCTTCTTTTCATTCTTCTTTTCATTCTTCTCATTCTTCTTCTCATTCTTCTTTTCATTCTTCTTCTCATTCTTCTTTTCATTCTTCTTCTTCTTTTCATTCTTCTTTTCATTCTTCTTCATTCTTTTCTTTTCATTCTTCTTTTCATTCTTCTTCTTCTTCTTCTTTTCATTCTCTTCTTCTTCTTTTCATTTTCTCATTCTTCTTTTCATTCTTCTTCTTCTTCTTTTCATTCTTCTTTTTGTTCCATTCTTCTTCTTCTTCTTTTCATTCTTTCTTTTCATTCTTCTTCTTCTTTTCTTCTGGACACAGCAGGTTCTTCTTCTTCTTCTTCTTCTGGCAACTCCACCACGCAGCTCATTTTTGTTCCAGTTTTACTGTATTTTGCTCCTTCAAAATCCTGAAACTTTCTTTTGGCAGGTGTACAGACTCAGGTACTCAGTGCAGGAATGGTGGGAATCCCTCACAATGGACACAGCAGGTGTACATACAGACCCAGGAATTCAACACAGGGACAGTGGGAACCCCTAATAATGGGTAAAGCAGGTGGGCAGACCCGGAATCTCAGCACATGGATGGTAGGAACCCCTCATAATGGGCACAGCAGGTGTGCATACCCAGAACCTCAGCACAGGGATGGTGGGAACCCCTAGTAATGGGCGCAGCAGGTGTGCAGACCTGGGACCTCAGCACAGGGATGGTAGAAACCCCCTCATAATGGGAACAGCAGGTGTACAGACCCAGGAATTTAGCACAGGGATGGTGGGAACTCCTCCTAATGGGCAGAGCAGGTGTACAGACCCAGGAACTCAGCACAGGGATGGTGGGAACTTCTCATAATGGGCGCAGCAGGTGTGCAGACCTGGAACCTCAGCACAGGGATGGTGGGAACCCCTAATAATGGGTAAAGCAGGTGGGCAGACCCGGAATCTCAGCACATGGATGGTAGGAACCCCTCATAATGGGCACAGCAGGTGTGCATACCCAGAACCTCAGCACAGGGATGGTGGGAACCCCTAGTAATGGGCGCAGCAGGTGTGCAGACCTGGGACCTCAGCACAGGGATGGTAGAAACCCCTCATAATGGGAACAGCAGGTGTACAGACCCAGGAATTTAGCACAGGGATGGTGGGAACTCCTCCTAATGGGCAGAGCAGGTGTACAGACCCAGGAACTCAGCACAGGGATGGTGGGAACTTCTCATAATGGGCGCAGCAGGTGTGCAGACCTGGAACCTCAGCACAGGGATGGTGGGAACCCCTCATAATGGGCACAGCAGGTGTTAGGGGGTTTAACTCTCCAGCATCCATTAGAGACTGATATAGTAATATAGTTCATTCTTCTTTTCATTCTTCTTTTCATTCTTCTTCTTCTTTTCATTCTTCTTTTCATTCTTCTTCTTCTTTTCATTCTTCTTTTCATTCTTCTTCTTCTTCTTCTTTTCATTCTTCTTCTTCTTCTTTTCATTCTTCTTTTCTTCTTCTTCTTCTTTTCATTTCTTCTTCTTCTTTTCATTCTTTTCTTTTCATTCTTCTCATTCTTCTTTTCATTCTTCTCATTCTTCTTCTCATTTCTTCTTTTCATTCTTCTTTTCATTCTTCTTCTTCATTCTTCTTCTTCTTTTCATTCTTCTCATTCTTCTTTTCATTCTTCTTTTCTTTCTTCTTCTTTTCATTCTTCTTCTTCTTCTTCATTTTTCTTCTTTTCATTTTCATTCTTCTTCTTCTTCTTTTCATTCTTCTCATTCTTCTTTTCATTCTTCTTCTTCTTCTTTTCATTCTTCTTCTTCTTCTTTTCATTCTTCTTTTCATTCTTCTTCTTCTTCTTTTCATTCTTCTTCTTCTTCTTTTCATTCTTCTTCTTCTTCTTCTTCTTCTCCTTCTTCGTCGTGCCCCGTGACTGCCCAACTGAGTGAAGTGTGCGGTGATTCTAAGATCGACGGCACTCATCTGCATGTCATACTGACTGACAGTATTATTTCTCTTCCCCAGCAGACTCCAAGGGCATTTAAATTAAAGGTACAGTGTTCTGCACTAATATAAAGGCTCTCTGAAGCCTAGAAACCCTTTTAATTAGTTAAAATTCGCAGCGAATAAATTCGAAATCGAATTCTCCCGCAAATTCGGCGAATCAGCCGAATCGAATTTTTGAATAATTCGCTCATCTCTACTTATATCCATAGTATATAATTTTTTGAAACTCCTTGTTTGGGATATAACCATTAGGGTAGTAGCATAGTCTACATATTTATAACATGTTATATGGTATATACCTATGGTATAATTTTTTGCATACACCTCCTTTGGGAAGTGTTCACCTATGCGCCAGTGCTACAAAGACTTTAGACTCTAGTAGTCATTGCCTTTGTGGCACATGCATTCAGACCGGTCTTGGCGTCATTTTATATGGTTTTAGGTCTGTGTATTGTCTCATACTGAGGTGATGGTAAACCAGGGCGAATGCCCATATGTCAAATTTGTATGTGTAATAAAGCATAATTTTTGGAAATTTTTCTGAGTATCACATCACATTCTGTTCATAATGTAGCCGCTTTCTCTGTGAATCTCTTTTCACAACCCCTCTTGTTTTGTAATTACTCGCCGGCACCCGGTGATTTCCGATGATCACCGATGGGGAGGAACACTGTTTTGTTTTGTTTACTAACAGTCCTCCTCCTTGACAGCTCGGGCATACTGCTCTGGATGGCTGTGCACCCAGTTCTTTCGGTACATTGTAGCCTTCTTCTGGCTTTGAGAAAAATGGCCATCTGAGGGCGCTTCTAAGTTTAGTAAGTTGTGTTTATTATTGAAAACAGTGAAAAATATACTCACATTTAGTAATATGAAAGAAGGCATATCTTAAAACCAAAGGAGTCATCCAAGGGACTCAGGACAAACTGCAGCAATCCAGGAAGGTGTAGAGAAAAGCCGCTTGCAGCATGTAGAGCTATGACACCAAAGCCAGTGTGACAGCTTTGGAAAAATTCCAGGATGACGTCAGATGCCATTGCACATGTGGGGCATGTAAGGGGGCATGGCTACGCCTTTTAAGCCTGAGATGACTTATTTTGGTTTTTAAGACATTTCTTCTTTCACTGTACTAAGTATGGGTGTATTTTCACTATTTTGTAATAATAAACACTAACTTGCAACACTTAGAAGTACCATCTGGTGTCCATTTGACTCTATTACAGATCACTTTGAATCTGCAGAGGAGCTGCTCTGGGGCCAAGCAAGTTTTCTTTATGTGGACTTATGAACTGTGTTTAGCTGTTACTACTTTTTAGGCTACTTTTTTTGCACCATAAACTCCTCTTATTTTGCTTCTGGCTTTATTCTAAATTGTCTTGTTATTCTATACATAATGTCTTAATGTTTTTTTAACAGGGAGCATATTCATTCAGATGCTTGGCATCATGATGTGATCACAAGCTTTTCTTCATATTCGTAACCAGTTGATATAAACATGGAGCCGCCTGGGAATAAGACTCTTGCTGGCTTTGTCCTGTTGGGATTTTCTGATACACCTCACCTTCTCTTTCCTCTTTCCTCCTTCTTCTTGGCTTCATATGTCCTCTGCATTGCAGGAAACACATTCATCCTCATGCTTATTGTTTCACAGCCACAACTTCACACCACAATGTATGTCTTTATGGGAAACCTTGCCTTTGTGGATGTATGTTTTACATCCATTATCATCCCCAGGACGTTGTATGGCCTCCTGTCTGAAGACATCTCTATCTCTATTCATGGCTGTATTGTCCAGCTATTCCTGTTTCTGGCAGTGGCCAACATGGACAGTTATTTGTTGACCATCATGGCCTTTGACCGATTCTGTGCAGTTTGGTTTCCCCTACGTTACCTGATAATTATGAACAGTAGGACTTGTACTGGTCTAGTTGCTTTCTGTTGGACCTTCGTATGTCTCCACTCTGCTTTCTGCATTGTGCTGACTACTTATCGGCCATTCTGTAGATGGGTTATCAACCACTACTTTTGTGACCTTCCTGTAATAATGCAGCTATCCTGTTCAGGTGGCTTGGAAACTCTAAACCAGGCTGGCTTCATTGAGGCTTCCATCGTGGTCTTTAGTCCCTTACTCTTCATCCTTGTATCCTACGTACTGATTATCAGAGCAGTGTTGGCTCTAAAGTCATCCCAAGGAAGAAGGAAGACCTTCTCTACTTGCTCATCTCACCTCACCATGGTCATCCTCTATAACACAATCATATTTATGTATTTTCGTCCAAGCTCCATCTACTCACCAACCTATGATCGGGACATCAGTGTCGTGTACAGTGTCATTATACCAATGCTCAACCCATTTATTTACAGCCTTAGAAACAAGGACATCAAAACTTCTGTAAGAAAACTTCTAAAACAGATATGAGAAATGATACCATTTAAAGTGAATCCACACCTTTAAAACCACTGTAATAGTGTAAGGCAGGGTTTCTCAACTAGGGTTCCTCCAGAGGTTCCTAGGAGTTCCTTGAGCAATTTCTACCTCTCAGATAAGTTTCCACTGACACCACTGATCTTTTGAGCTCCATTATCATTCCCAGGGGTTTGTATGGCCTCCTGTCTGGAGACACCCACATCTCCACCCATGACTGCTTTTCCAGCTCTTTCTCTTGATGGTAGCAGGTAGCATGGATGGCTTTTTGTTGGCTATCATGGCCTTTGATCGCTACTGTGCAGTTTGTTTTCCCCTACGGTACCTTTTAATTATGAACAGGGGAACTTGTATCTGTCTGGTGACTTTTTCTTGGATTATTGTTTGCCTCCACTCTACTTTCTACACTTGGCTGGCTTCTTCTCATCTCTTCTGTAATTGGGTAAGCCAAAACTTCTTCTGTGACTATCCTGTCATACTCATGCTATCTTGCTCTGGCTTATCAGAAACCCGGCAGAAAGTTGACTGCATTGAAAGTTCTGTCATCAACTTTGCACCAGTGCTTTTAATCCTTGGGTCCTATGTACTGATCATCAGAGCAGTGTTGATTCTAAAGTCATCCCAAGGAAGTAAGAAGTCCTTCACCACTTGCTCATCTCACCTCACCATAGTCATCCTCCTCTATAGCACAATCATATTTATGTATTTTCGTCCAAGCTCCATCTACTCACCAACCTATGATTGGGACATCAGTATCATGTACAGTGTCATTATACCAATGCTCAACCCATTTATTTACAGCCTTAGAAACAAGGACATCAAAACTTCTGTAAGAAAACTTCTAAAACAGATATGAGAAATGTTACCATTTAAAGTGAATCCACACCTTTAAAACCACTTTAATAGTGTAAGGCAGGGTTTTTCAACCAGGGTTCTTTCCAGAGGTTCCTAGGAGATCCTTGAACAATGAGCAATTTCTACCTCTCAGATAAGTTTCCACTGACACCACTGATTTTTTTAGCTATTGTAAGGGGGTAATTTGTCCCAATGACCACAAGGGTAGAGAGCATTCTTCCCACTGACCATCACACTAATGTATTAGGAGTTGTAGATAAAGTATTTTTTTTGCAGGGGTTCCATGAGACTGGAAAGTTATTTCAAGGGTTCCTCTCTGTTGAAGAGGTTAAGAAAGGCTAGCGTAAGGGAAGGCCAGATAATCAACTTTATAATTAGAATGTTTTTTAAACTTGATCATTATACCTGCAGA